GAATATTGAGTATATGTTGGCTTTTTTAATGAAAGCACAAAGCACATACCAGGCAAATTTTAAAAATCAGCAAGAAAGAGACAAAACCTCCTGGCTCGAATCAATTTTGTAGGAAAAGCTAAACATTTGATTAAGTAGTTATTGATCGAGACAATAATTTAAGGTTCTTCATACTTGACTAAAATGTCTTAATATGTTCCAAAGCAAGTCAAATAGAAAAATCTTCTCATGAAATATAAGATATCATTCACAAAATGCTCCATGAGAAATGATTGTTAAAAATACAAAATTCAGCGGGAAATATTGTTAGACAAATTGTTTTTATCAATTCCTTTAATTGCACATTTTAAGTTTAAGCCAAATAACCATTAGGTAAATTTATTTTAGGCAAATTGGCTTTTAGTAAACTGATTTTGGGCAAGCTGATCTTTTACATTTTTACATGTTGGGGCCATAGAAATAGAACCTGGAGGCCATCCCGGTGACATGGGACATCCATCAGGTGGACGTGGGTCCCACTAGATGGGAGCTGATACATCTGTCTGTCATGCATGGGCTGTCCCAGCCACAGGAGCGTCCTATGCCAAGCGATTCAGCAGCCCTGGTCCATGGTGTTCAGCTCCTTTTGAACGGCAAATACCAGGCCCAGAGATTCTGGTTCAGAAGGTCAGTCAGAAGTGACGCCCAGGAGTAACAACAGGTGACAGTCACAGGGGGTCCGTGGATTCTGCTCTAAGAAAGAGTGGCCTTTTAAACAGGAAAAAAGGGGGGACAAGAACAAGAGGCTAAGAGTGGTTTGCAGCTTTCCCTTTTTAAAAAAGCAGTGCAGGACCCTACCACAGAATTCCTGGGGGCAGTGGACAGCATCTCCCCACCACCACCACCACCCCTGGCTTGAGAGCCAGCAGGAGACTATGCACTCAGGCCTTCATCACTCAGCCATAGAGCCCACACCAGCGGTCTGCAGGGAATCGAACACAGAACAGAGCAGAAGTCAGTGGGGCCCCGACCATCGAGGTCTCGGGGTCCAGGAAGGAAAGGCTGCAAGGACACATGCTCTGCAGCTGGACATTCAAGAGCAAATGCAGTTTTGTTCCTCAACCAGGGGCCAGGAAGGCATCTCAGGAAGTGGGGAGAGGTGAGGCCCAGAAGAGAGGATGAGCACGGTTAGTGGGAGCCAGCATGGAAACTGGGCAGCTGAGAGGACAAAGCAGCTCAGGAGCCACATGGGTAGGAGCCACGTGGTAGACCTGAGACTAGGAATTGTGCTTGCAATTGCAGCGTAGACTAAAGCCATGTGGAACCCCAGGTGTGGAAAGTGTAGTGCTTTAGGGCTGGATTAGATGCCCAGCACTTGTATCCACATAATAAGAGAAGGTGGGGTCCTAGGTTGGCATCGTGGGTGAGGGAGCAGAGAGAGAATGGTAGAAAATAAAGGGATGCACAGAAATTCGGAATAGCAGTAGTGTGCAGCTGGTTCCAAACCATGCCTCCAGATGCATTATGAGGAATGATTTGGTATTAAGGTGTCATTAAAATACCCAAATAGGCATGGCTCTGTTGACAGAGACCTGAGGTGCCCTGACAGTCCTTAGTTATGTACAATGTTGGGGAAAGGTAGGAATTGCATATCAAGTTCACAGAAAGCAGGTAACCCCACCTAATTTTAGCCTGATTCTTAATTTCTTCCCCTTTTACCTAATCCACTGTGCCATGAATGGTTTTGAATGGTTGATTTTCATTCTCTGCCCATATTAATCAGTAGCCACGTGTAGAAAAGGGACCGGAAAGGAGATGCAGGCAGGAAAGGAGAAGAGAGGACATCCCTATGACCCCTACCTCTTTCCTACAAGAAGAGTGATGAACTCCAATAATTTGATCCACCTGGTGGTTTCTTCCTTCCCCTGTCTTGGTAGAATTCTTAGGACCCACTTGGCCACTTTTTCAATGATGAAGCCATGGAAGTAGTGACAGGCTATCCTGTGGTGGAGTATGCACAGGAAGCTGTCCCTAAACACGAGCAGAACCCAGTGTCACACTGCCTCTTCCTAGGTAGCGAATTCCATTCTCCCCTCCTGGCTGTACTTCTGCCTGATGAAGAGGGTCAGTAGCTACCCACCTTCGAGAACCCATACATGAAAGACCCTGGGCTAAGAGTCCCCGGAGGAAAATGAAACCTTAACACTTCCAGCCTTGTTGCATTACTGTGTTGGTGCTAAAGCTTCCAAGAGCCTCAGGAGGACCTTTCCACAGCAGGAACCAACAGAGATACGGAGTTTCTTCATCTCTCACTCAGGGCTTTGGAAAGAGCTTGCACTGCCTGTCACAGTGGTGTGTGACCTCATGTTCTGTCCATGTGGGGACAGAATGGGCCATTAGGGCTGAGCATGTGGGAACCTGTGGTTGTGACTAGTTTGCATTCAGGTGTTAGGGGAACGATCTCATCAGTCCTGAAACCATTAGCTTTTTCTGTATTTTAGCTGTAGGATCAGCAGTTTAGTGTCCATCCTCTCATAGCCACATGACTTAACCCATCCTACAGTTGTGATCGACTTTATACCCACATCTCCTTCCTGGGGTATGTGTTTCTGGGGAAGATGTGAATTCATCCAGCAGCAGATCCTCACAGCTCTGGCTCAGTCTGTACACATGGTGTGCACGTCTCAACACATGAGCTGTGCGCTCAACAAGATGCTGAGGGGGCCATGCTAAGTTATGCACGGTCTCGATTCTCTACATGTGGAGAAACTTAGGTAAACAGAAAGTGCAGTTCAGTGTCCCCTGCAGCTGTTTCTTCATCTGTAAAAATGGGATAAGAATGACATCTGCCTCACAGGCTTGTCATGAGGATTAGTCTGGTTAATATATGAAAAGCACTTAGGACAGGAGGGACTTGGTGCATACTCAGCATGAACATCCCTAATCTGAAAACGCAAACTCCAAAATGCTCCAAAATTCGGAACTTTTAGATTGTTAGCACGATGCCACAAGCCACATTTTGTCATGTTTCAGTCTGCCATGTGTAAAATTATTAAAAATACTGTATAAAATTGCCTTCAGAGTAAGGGTAGAAGGTGTATGACATGTAAATTATTTCATATTTAGACTTGAGTCTCATTTCCCCAGGCTGTCTCATTATGTATAGGCAGATATTCCAAAATCCAGAAAAATCTGGAACCTGAAACATTTCTGGTCCTAAGCATTTTGGATGAGGGAAAGTCGGTCTATGGAAGTCTTGACTGTAATGATGACCGCCATCATTTTTAACACAGAGGCAAGGCGTGTCCTCGGCACCCAGGGCACAGGAGAGTGATGCAAGGGTCCAGGGAGGTTCTTAGCGAGCTGGATCAGGAAGGGAGAGTAGGAATTGACCAAAAAGACAAAACAGAAGATGTTCCAACCTGAGGGAAAGGAACACCCAGGCCACAGGTATGGAGGAGCAGTCAGGAGTGAAGGCGCATGTGTGGGGCTAGGATGCAAAGGGGCAGCTGGGCCCAAAGGGAGAAGGGAGCCTGGATGTCCCCTCCAGTCTCTCAGAGGGTGGGCAGGAGGGAAGCTGCTCTCATGAGAATGTGAGGGAGCACAGAGGCCACCTGGCAGACTCAGCTGAAGGTGGAGACTGAATCTGTGGGATACCAAATCAGTGAAGTCCTGGAGAGAAATCGGGAGGAACTGCTCAGGAGCTACCTTTCCAGGTACCACAGGAAGAGGAAGGGTTGTTCCCAGCTGGGGGAACCAGAGCAAAATGGGGCTCTGAAGAGATGAAGCTAGCGGCAGATGGGCTGTGGGAGGCCTGAAGACCATGTCCAGACTCTAACTGCGTGGTGACAGGGTCAGATTTGTGCTCATTTGCAGGGCTACAGAGTTAGATGGCAGGAAGGCCACACACCAAGCAGACTGACAGCTGGAGAAAAGCTTTTCTGTATTTTAAGACCTCTGAGATCATCTGTCAGCATAAAGTAGTGCTCCTCAGCGTGAGACAGGTGTGATGTCGGGACACCCCACTCCTCCCCTCCCACACCCCACATCCCACATTTCTCCAAGACCAGCCTGCAGTGCACAGGGCTCAACTGCCCCTCCACATTGCCAGATGCTTTCCAGGAATGTGGGGTACAGAGGACTCTCAGGTCCCTCCCCAGGATAATCTGGGCATGGGTTTGACCCTGACCCCCCTCAATGTGAACCATTTCTAGGAAGCTTTTGGAGCACTGGCATGGAACCAAGGGGTTGGTTCTACACCAGAATCTGTCAGGTGCCAACATGGCGGTACAAGGGACATGTTCTGATGGCTCAGTGTGCACACCCTTGTTTGATTCACAAAATTATTGAAATATGATATAAAATTATCTCTGGTCTGTACATATATGCCGTTTACACCCCCAGAATGTCCCCAGGGAGCCATCTAGCAGTTTAGACTGCCTGTGTGGGTGGTGGGCATGAACCAGACTCTGCAACAACTAATCCTCACACAGCAAGCTCCTGAGGTGGGGAGGTCTTCCCTGGTGACAGATGAGGGAACTAAGATTGGCAGCATTCAAGCTACTTGTGAAGGACACACTGATAGTGGATTTGATCCTGGCTAGGGCTGGCTTCTGTCCCCAGGTGTCAGCTGAAAAGACACATTAAAGTCACAGACATCATGGTAGATCCTAAAAAAGACATCTTTGACAGCCAGTGGGTTTTCAGGAGCAAGAGAATCATCACATACCCCTTTCTTGCTGCCATCCTGTCTGGGCTGCTCAGGAGCCTCAGGCTGGTGTGACCTGGGACAGCCACTGCTGACATTGGGGTTCCTGGGGTCCCTTAGGGCCAGTGCACTGCAAGCAGGAAGGAAGCTGTGATTCTCACTAAGTAGGGCAACCTGCTGGAGCTTCAAAGGTTGCACTGTATCCAGGGGGCCACCTCAAGGGCCACAATCCCAGGGTGGGCACATGGGGCGTTCTGGATGTCTTCTGACACCCCCTAGCTCACATCTGCCTCTTGCCCTCCTTTTGACACAGATCCTGGCGCCCCTGTGAAATTGCCTTGTCTGCCAGTGAAACTCTCGCCTCCGCTACCTCCAAAGAAAGTCATGATCTGCATGCCCGTAGGGGGACCAGAGCTCTCCCTGGCATCCTACGCAGCCCAGAAGAGCGGCCAGCAGGGCATGGCCCAGCACCACCACACCGTCCTGCCATCCCAGATCCAGCATCAGCTACAGTATGGCAGCCACGGCCAGCACCTGCCCTCCTCCACTGGCACCCTCCCCATGCACCCCTCGGGCTGCAGGATGATAGACGAACTCAACAAGACGCTGGCCATGACCATGCAGAGGCTGGAAAGGTAATGAGGGGCCGGAGGGAGGGGTGGAAGGAGCGAGGTTGGCTGGAGGACAAGCCCTCATCCCCACAAAGCAAAAAAAAAAACTTGAAAGTAAAATCAGACCAAAAACTGATTGTCAAGGAAAGTCTGGAAGAAAAAAAAAATGATATTGCCAATTGTCAAACTATAATCACATTTATCACAAAGAAATAGTAACACACACACACAACACATACACACGCACACACACACACCCATGTCACGTTTGCCTAAATATTACCATTTTGTGAAAGGATGTACATGTAATTAATAGAGGTCACCCTGGGATGGGGAAATGGGAAGAAAATATGTTTGTATTTCATACTTTACTGCTTACTTTTTAATTTTGTATATATTATTTCCATGATATTCAAAAGACAATTTAAATGTTTAGCCAGGGGCTGGGGCAGGTGTCTTGCTGATGGAGGAAGCAAGTAGGACAGGTAGATCATGTCCACGGGAGCCGAGCTTGAGGACTTGGCAACCCCTGGACAGCCCCCTCTCACCTGAATAGGCCTCCAGAAGTGTTTCTGGGAGACCTGCACAGGGGACCCCTATCGGCAAGCATGCAGGAGACCCTGGCTGTCCCAGGTGGGGAGAGGCTCATCTCTAATACTGGCTCACAATTACTCCTGTGTGTGCACCTGGGTGTGTCCAGATTCCACCACCCCCCTGCCTCCTGCCTAAGAAATACCGGGGATTTCCCAGCACCTCACTTGACCAGGTCCCCTGCCTGACAAGGAGAAAGTGTTTCCACCTGGACCCGGGACCTTCATGTCCCATGGTAGTGGCTGCTGTTCACTGGGTCCAGTGGGCAGGGAAATTACAGTCTGGGAGGCCCAGCAGATCAGCAAGGCAGAGAGCCTAAGGCAAGATGCACACAGGCCAAAACTCTAGGGTGTGGCTTCCTCCCTGTCAGCCAAGAAGGGTGTGTTTGGGAAATGATCTGGCTAAGAGGGAAGCTGATATTTCTAGGAATTCTACTTCATGCCTTTGTGTTAATACCAATCCTCCCTGTGCAACAAAAAGCAATTTCATTTGGCCTTTTGTTTTGGCTTTCAATTATTGCTGTTAGTGAGAACAATAGTAACTTAAAACTCAGGTGGCATCCTTTAATCTGCTACACATCCACACCCCACCATCACAGCCATCACTGTCGTCATCATGTTTGATCCTCACACCCCTTGGGGAAGCTGAGTACATGGAGAAAGTAAGGTTGAATAAGCTCCCCAACACTCCCTACTCAAAGCGTGGTCCGCACGATGCTTGTTACCCATCTGCAGCCACGTAAGTGCAGAAATTGAGAGCATACTTTAGGTACTTTTATAGCAATTTGGTAGAATGATTTTATCTGTTGACTCCTGTGATTAAAAAGGGCTTCATTTCTGAACATCTTTAATTATATGTTACAAAAGCATCAGTTTGTGATAGATTAAAAATTAGAGGAAATGAACAATAAGAATTGTCCTTTTTGCCTAAACATTTAGTAGTGAGCTGAGGGGCCGAGGCGTGGGTCTTTCTACCCAAATTCAGAAGTCTCTCCCTTAGCATAGCTGCTTCCTAGGCAACTGACCATCAACATAATTTCCAATGTCTACTCTACACCAGGTAAATCATCCAGGCTTTAATCATCTGAAGAAGACACTCATAACAACATATCAGTAGCATATTGCTACTTAAAACATGCGTTTCATAACGTCCATAGGTATTTGTGCAGTGTTTCCTTGGAGTTCAGACCCATGAGTAGGTTTGTTGGACCTGTACTGGGCAGTGCTCTTTATTAAAATGAATCAGAGAACAAACTAGAAGGAGATGTTGGGGTGTAGGAAGGAGGCTCCAGCATGACCTCGGCAGCTGACCCAAGGCTCCTCCGTACCTGTGCCACCCCCAGATTCTCATTACCTCCTCTGTCTCTCTCCTCCACCCCTTACAAGGTAGCCATGTAGGCCAGCCAGGACATTGGGAATTAATTCAGCATCACTTTGACAAGACTGCCCACCCTGTGAAGGAGAGATCTTCTTCCCAAATAAAGATTGCATTCTTCTGAGCCTCCACATGCTCTCCCAGGAGTCATAGAAGGCATCTGAGAGAAGGCCCAGGACACAGCCCACTTCCCCATGTAGTGAGGGAGCTACCACTCTCTTCTATTCATTACCTAAAAATTCTCCCCATTGCCTCTCAACATGATTTCATTCTGGACCTAACCAAGTTTCATCCAGAAAGAATTGTTTCTCTGTCCCCCTGGCAATTTCCAGGGACCCAAAACAGAAACACTACAAGGAGGAAAAAAATATTACTGAACACGAAGGCAATCCCCCTACAGAGATTCTTGGGCCAACTCTGCCCTTGTGATCTGCTAGAATGTCTGTCCCCTGTAGAGTCCCAGCCCAGACTTGTAGTCTGGTCCTGAAGAAAACATGGTTGGTAATATAAAGATCAAATGATTAATTAAAGAGCATTGATGCCACACTTCAGGCTATACATCTATAAAATAGTCATCTTGTCACTGGAAGGGATTTGAAGGCTCTCTAGACAACCAACCCCCACCCATGATGTTGTCCTTGACCATTTAAACTCTAGTCTCTGCTTGAATGGCAACCTCAGCCCCAAGACAGCCTGCTCCACTGGCAAGAAGGTCTGATTATTGAAAATTCTTTTTCATATTACATAAAGTGTTTTACCTATTGTAACGTATTTCCCCAATTTTATTTCTGATCTTCCTTTCCTATAAAAAGCTTTTGCCTGGGCATGCTGGCCCCTACTTGTAATCTCATCTCCTCAGAAGACCAAAGCAGAAGTTCAAGGCCCTCTTGGGCAGCTTAGTAAGAAACTTTCTGAAAATGAAAAAATGGCAGGGGATGTAGGTCAACGTGAGGCCCAGGGTTCTATCCCCAGTGTTGCATAGCGAAAAGGTAAAAACAAAAACAACAATAAATAAATATATATATGGCTTTCAAATCTTTGAAGAACTTACCATATCCTTTATCTAAGGGCCTCTCTAGACGTTTTATATATTGTCTACATTCCCCAGAGGTTTTGCTAAACCTTTTCTGATTTGTATGAAAAGGTTTTTAATCATTACCCTCCCTGCATCTGCTTGGTGGCACTAAAACATGGCAGTTATTTCCACCTTCGGCTCACCCAGTTGGAGGGGAGAGGTATAGAACAAGGCAACCTGAGACCAGATGAAGCAAACTGAATGGATTTGTGTTATCCAAAGTCCCGCGGCTGCTGTAGCCAGCACAGTTGAGCTGGAGGGAGCCCCCACCTCATGACCAAGTATGTGGGTCCCAGAACCCAGCACCAGGATTTGGATCTCACACATAGTTTATTAGCAAAGCATATTGCTTAACCTCTTTTGACCTTTCATTCCTCTTCTATAAAACAAGGATGATAATAATACTCCCAGCCTCATTTGGGTTATTTGTGAGGATCAAATGATTTAATCAGTCCAAATCAGCCAGGTCATTGCATGGCACATTGTAAATGCCCAATAAATGACAGTGAGCATTAAGCGAAATTATATAGCACATAAAATCTGTCCTCAGTGCCTGTAACAGGAAGATTGCAAATGGGCTCCATCCAATCTTGCTGGAGATTTTGTTTGTTTGTACCGGTTTCTGCAAATGAGATTGTCTTTGTTTGTCTCCATCAGTGTGATTAGTGTCTTTTTTGGGAGGTGATGTTTTCTCATTTCAAATATTATGCAACTTTTTATTTTTAATATCTGCAGTAAGCTGTTGATCTAGGTGGCCTCCATTCTGGAATTCAGACTTTAAATTCTAATCAGCCACTGATTTTCTTTCTGATATTAATTCAGTCCTGAGTTCTCTGTGCTCTTGTTTCCTCTTAGCAAAATGAAGTTTGATAGGGGCCTTCTTGACCCCACAGGAATTTTAGGAGTATTTTCAGGGAAGACTTTCCCTTCTTAATGAAAGGAAGCTTCATACTTCCAGTTGTTCACACTTGACACATAGGCTCACCCTTAACAACTTCCTTTTTCTTGTACCCCGTATCTGATCGTCAGCAAAGCCTATCCAGTCTACAGTGAGAAGATACCTGGATTGGCCACTACTCCTGCACTCCTGGATCCTGCTGGGGGTTGTTTCTAGCACTTGAATTTGGGGGAACACAGTCAAAGCCTAGCACTTAGTAACTAGAAGATCCATCAGCAGTTCTCACTGAGCACCTTTTTGGATCCAAACTTTACACCTGGACATGGGAACACCAGTGAACTAAATACAGAGGTGGCCTCCCTCAGTGGAGCTTCGGGTCCCCGGGGAGATAGGCTGTGTGGGTCATACCGGGAGGGTGCAGAGTAGGAGGAGAGTGCACAGCAGGGCATTCAGCTGTGGAACTCAGGGTGTTCTTCTCTAGAGAGCATTTAAACTGAGAGCTAAAAGAGGCATGGCCAGAGGAAAAGGGAGAAAAGTATGAGAGAATATTTTCATCAGCTCAGAAGGAGTTACCTACCGTCTCCAAATGGGTGGATGAGATTTTCAATTAAAAGAGGGGGAAAGCTGGCAATTACTCCCCAAGTTTTTAGAAGATCAGTCATAGAGAATGAGAATAATGACAAAAAATTATAATCGGGCATATGGAAGAAACTCAAGACACTAGAGAGGACACTGGAGATCAGGAGAGATCAGGCCAGCAGCAGTCCCAGAGGGTTTACTTGTTTACTTACACAAAGGGAAACCTTACAGAGCAGATCATTTGCTAAGGACCTGTCCAGCTCTGTAACCCTCTATTAGATGTATTGAAGTAGGTTGTTAACTCTGATGTGGAAAGTTTCAGAAATACAATGGCTTTACCTTTGCTGGGAAATGCACTTAATAAGGCATATATCTGTGTTATCACAGGTCAGAACCGTGGTGGTCCACCAGAGCCAAGAAAGTTCCAGAATCTTCTTGGACCTACTGAGCCCTGCATACCACGCATTGTGATATATACACAATAATACAGTCTTTCCTTTAAAATAA